AAGTCCCTGATTGAAATGATGCTTTGCAGTGGCTACATGGCACCAGAATATGCCATTGACGGGCTATTTTCGGTGAAGTCCGATGTCTTTAGTTTCGGAATACTAATCTTGGAAATCATCAGTGGAAAGAGAAACCGGGGTCTATTTCATTCAAACCAGAATCTCATTGGACACGTAAGTTTCAATTCAAGCACGAATTTCATATGGTGTTTGATCCGTACTTCTGTGTGTGCATTCCACGGTGGTCTCATCCATTTCAAATTGTGATCAACGGAGTTTTGTTAGGATCAGCAATAAGCGTGACAATAATCTCTTGAATTTGATGATGTAATTGCAATGGTTCAGGCCTGGAGATTATATTCAGAAGGGAGGCCTCTAGATCTCATTGATCCGTCCGTAGACGGATCGTGCATCCTATCAGAAGTGCTGCGATGCATCCACCTGAGTTTCCTTTGTTTACAACATCATCCTGAGGACAGACCGAGCATGGCATCCGCGGTCGTGATGCTGGGAAGCGAAAGCGCTCTGCCTCCACCCAAACAGCCGGGCTTCCTGATAGACAAAAACCCTTTTCAAGGAGACTCTTCGTCAAGCAAGCACGAGATAAACTCGGTCAATGAAATCACCATCACACTGGTGGAAGCCAGATAGAAGAATACTAACCAGTGAATTCTGCAATTGTTCATTGTTAGGACGCTGACGAAACTAACCTTTTTGAGCAACTAAGTTGCTGAGAGATCAATTAGCATTTGAACTTAATTAGAAACCATACAATCTGTAACAGTTTGTCCTAGAGAATTTGCATTGATCAATGGTGACGAATGACTTTTAAATTTTTTGCGGGCCACAATGATCAAATGTCCTCTTCCTAAAATCAATAAGATTTGATTATGTCGCCAAGGAGGATGACAAGAAGGTACTGTGGAGCTATGATTGTGAGTTCTCTCCAAGAAGATTTGGCTACACTACAAAAACTTATTCCTCTCCTTTTTGTCATGATGCTTGTGGAATCAATTAGAAGTGAAGTTGGGGCGAGCGAAGATCTGGTCAGGAAAATACTAATCTTTTCAAGCAAGCAAAACAAAAGCGATTGGAAATGATGAATTGGAATGATAGGATGCTGGACTCAGTGAAGCAAAAGCTTCTTTCAACTTCTCATGCATTTGTTTGGGTCTTGTTCAAGAAAATCTTGATGTGGGATGATGATGATTCTCTCTCCTGATTACGAATGACTTGATGAGAAAAAGAAAAGCAAACCTCTTAAGTTTGCTTTTCATCCCCTCTAAGTAAGTGATTATGGACATAGGAAAAGGCATGATCTTCCAAGAATCAAGGTTAATGGGATTATTGAAGACTTTGAGAAAACGTCAGATCTGAGATCCATCTTTAGATCTTGAATGGGCTTTATAATTGTTGGCTTGGTGTTAAGTGGAGAGGGAAAATTGGGAATAATTGCAAGAGTTGTGTCAAATCATGATTGAGGAAAGCTTAAAATATGGGACCTTCCTTGTCCTATTGCACCAATTTTCTAGTTTGTACCGTCAGAAGGAGACGTGGATGGTTGGATCTTTTGGACCCAGAAGAAAGTTATTTTATTATGGAGAATGGTACATTGATTTAGCCAAAAACTTTAGAAGTTTAGGTCAAATTTAAGACACCCTTTTTTTTTTCAACTCTTCGTAGGATCGGTTTGAATTTGGACAGAAACTGGAACACGGGATTGACAATACCAGCATTACAAGCGAACAAGAAAACTTAGTCCATACAGAGTATAATTTGATAAACTTGAAATGCCATCTGAGCATTGCATGGTTAAGGGTGCTCGATTCCAGAGTGGGCAGGTTTTGAACTTGAAAGTTTTTGAAATTGAAAACTGGTCGAGCTTCTTTTTTCGTTTCGTTTCGTTACATTTTATATGTAATGTGCATATGTCAAACATAAATACAACTCTTTTTACTTGAGGATATTTTCTGTTTTTTAAAAAAAATGTAAAAGAACTTATTAGGGTTTGGGATAAACCGATTGGTTCTAGATTCTATCTTGGAACTGGCCTTGCAGGTTTTAGGTTTTTGGGTAGAACCAACCAATTTAGAATATAGTTTTCCAAAACCAAACCGGTCAAGGCCAGTTCCTAGTTTTTAGAACCGGAAACTAGTTCAATCCCCTAAAGAACTGGCCAATAAGGTCAATTCCTAAATTAAACCAGCCCAGTTGCTCACCTCTATGAATGGCCTTCTCACAAATTGTCAAAGTTTTAAGCTAAGCAAAAGGTATAGCGCATGGGAACTACGGATAATATGTCGCTCATATTCAATACCTAAGACAATGAAATATGTTAGTTGGCAACGGACAAAATCATTGATTGATCTTGCGTGACAAGCTGACAACTGACAAAAAAAGTAGTGCCGACGGATAATCCACGAGCAGCCATTGTGGAATTTCATGTACAGTAATGTTAGGGGAGAAATTTAGTTCAATCATACTCTACCATTATGATAACCATTTAAATTTTAAATCGGTTAGCCGCAAAATGCCAAGTAGTAATTACGACTGATGATATAAAAAAAAAAGGCGTCATACATTCATGAAGACAATACTTGAAAAAAAATACTGTATGGTCTTTAGACCATATAGACTAAATGTGAGAAATTACCAAAAAAAGGCATTAATCTATTATACTTATGTCAATTCAGTCTTAAACATTTTAATTTCATCAATTTAGTCTTAAATCTTTTGGCAATTTGCCAATTGAGTCCTTCAGACTAATTTTGATCGGAGCGAGGGTCACCGACGACCCTCGCCAGCCGAGAAGGCCTCGCCCAAGGCCTTCGCAACCCTTGTTGGTCATAGGCGAGGGCCACCTTGCCGGCCACAAAGAAGAAAAGGCAAAGAAAAAAAATAAAAAATTACAAAAAATTAATAAAAATTATCCACGTCAGCGTTAGTTGTGCCACGCATGATGATTGGCGTCCACTTCAGCGGTTTTCGACCAAAATTGGCCAGAAGGGATCTGTTGGCAAATTGTCAAAATGTTTAATCCTAAATTGATCAAATTGAAAACTATATAACTAAATTGATACGAGTGCAATAGGTTCTGGACATTTATGGTGATTTCCCGATTAAATCCATATGGACCATCGATCATTCTGAGCTCACAATAAGACCAGCATAATTAGTGATTATCCAGATGATATTCGATTCGCACGACGCGTACATCATGCAACAACTTCTCGCCGTACCCTACAACGACGAATCGGGTTAGCCATTCGACGTCCTTTCGTCTTCAAATTTGTTGTCCTACTTTAGATGCCGAAACGAGGCCGTCATAGTCTATAGAAAGAACCATTTACATGACTAAACTTTCTCAATGAATCAAAAACCGATCCAAAATTGCTGACCACGTTTGTTGACCCTTGGGACACCAAATCCTAAAAGACTTCGACCTCGAAAAAAAACACACACAAAAAAAAAAAATTGCAAACAATTTCAAGAAATTCGGGCCGTTCGATCAGCATGCCGTCTGCAATGCGTCACCGAAAATCGATAAGGGCCCCTGATTTGGGCGTTTTGATGATTGACCACGCCCCCCCCTTTTTTTTGGCGTAACTCGCTCGAAGGAATCGGACGGTAGGCATGAGAGCATGAGGATTCCACGTGGATCCACGGCCCTCGCACGCCGTTGATTCGCCCTCTACCTACCCAAGAAACGCCAGCGCCCTGTCCACGTGTTCATACCGTCGTTGTCGATATTGGACGTATGGTTAGTGTTGACTAACCTTTGATTTTGAGTAAAGGTGGGCTCAAACTGGATATGTTAATCGTCGAAAGGTATCGGACTACGAATGGTAAACTTTATTTAGTCAAGACGTTGAACACTCGGCTCTGTGCATGATCCTTATTGGCTCGAAGCGCTCAGTTGTGCAATAGATTGTAAATTTAGGGTAAAGAGCTCGTCGCGAAATAGTTTTTTTGTTTACCTTTCACGTGTGTTCAATTTACTGAAAATAGTAAGCTGACGGAAACACGTTTACGATCGAAGAAAACATTCACACCCAAAATTAGGAAAGCGAATTCCCATTTCTCAAGGGATGAAATCATTTCCCAAGCACACCAAGCCTCATATGACAAACGCTCACTTCTTACATATTTCAATATCCATTATTTCAAATGAGATTCAAATACCTAAAAACGTTTTCGGACACACTTTTTTCACAATACAGTCAAAACATATGAGAATTAACCATTTTTCTTGAAAATGATTTTGTACGAAATACATTTTCCCTTATCATAAAATTCGACGCGAAACAAGCACATCCCTAAATTTATCCCTTTTTTCTTGTACGTCAATCGGCTTCTCTTCGAATTCAAAATATACCGTAGAACCAACGGGACTTCCGGTCGTGTTCTAACTTGCTTGTCGCGACTTTTCTCCTCAGTCCATCTAATGCCACGTACAAAAGCATAAGGGGATAAAGGTACAGATGATCTCCGGTGTTTAGGATTGTAATTAAATGGGCAAAACCGTTTAGGAATGAGCTATGAGACATCAAAACAACATCATGCCCGGCTCGTCATATTCGTACAACTTTGAAAATTTCTTTTCCGGCGGCCTCTTTGTACTCCTTTGAACTCGCAATTCAATTTCGACCCCCAAAAAAAAAAGAAAAAGAAGAAGAACTTGCAATTCAATCTCTAGTTGCAAGAAAATATAAAATAAAATAAAAAAATAAAAAAGGAAAGAAAAGGTGGACATCTAAGTTCTAGAGAAATTAAGGAGCTTGCAACGACCACCACCATGATGATGATGATGATGATGAGCGTGACAACAACACACCATCATTAATCACCCAGCGCCCCAGCCCCCCCAAAACGACGCCGCTCCGACCTCATCGCGATTAGCTTACCAAATTCATCCATTCTCCCCCCACCACCACCACCACCACCTTGGCTATATATAAATGGAGAGGCTCGTCCTCGCTTCCCACTTCCCATTTGTCAACGTTTTCCCCATCAACCCCCACGCAAGCTCGCACGCACAGTGTCACAGAAGGCCACAGCAACAGAGAGGAGAAGCGAGGCGAAGCGAAGCGAACGGTGGGGGGAGCGACTTCTCCGAGGCCTCATTTCCATGGCGACCAAAGTCTACATCGTGTACGTTCCCCCCCCCCCCCCACCCCATCTCCCTTCGCCCCCCCACCCCCATCGATTCCGATCGATTCCTCGCCTCCTTCGCTCGCTCGTTCTCCGGTTTCGATCGCCCTTCCGTCGCCGGCTTCGATCGCCTCCGAATCGCATTCGCTCGTGTCCGGCATTGGATTCGCTCGGACGGATTCGGTTCGGCGACGGCTTCGTTTGTGTGTGTGCGCTTCTATTTTTTTTTTGGTTTCTGCGCGATCGCTTCGCCGTTCGGTTGTTCCTTTCGACCGGTGCCGTCCCGGCTCGATTCGGCCGCGCGAGTCGTTTCTCGGTTTGGCGGGGTCCTGGTTTGGAGTAAGTTCTGTTTCGGCGGTCGCTAGCTTTTGTCTGTCCCGCGCGGAATTGGATACCGGTCGATGGAGTGTTTGGCCGTTGGATTGCTCGAGCGATGAGGCGGCGCTTGGTTCGGTGGTGGGGCGCGATTGCGCGGAGATCTGTTTCGTTGGACTGCTGATTTGCTGCTGGATATCGTCTGTTTTGATGTGATACGCGGCGGTTGCGTTTTCGTTCGTGATGATCTTGCTCTGTTCGTCGTGTGATGAACGTAGACCGTGTTTCGTTGCTCTTGGGTTTGATTTTCTGTGAATTTCGCGATATTTGACCGGTTAATGCAGATGGAAGTGATGAGTTCGCCGATTTGTGAACTGCATTTGACGTTAGGGTTCTGATGTCGCTCAACTTTAAGTGCTGTGATGCGCTTCTACTAGATAGATGATCTTTGCTGAAATTAATCGGGTCAGATTATTCCGGTTTTGGATCGCGTAATCGCATTCCTAGCTCGTGTTTTTGTTAGCGCACGTCTTCCATTTTCAGTTAATACAGATCTTCTGTCTAATTCTGATATGCGAATTTAGGTGGAAGTTGGGGGGGGTATATGTTGCTGTCAGTTTTACTGAAATTAGAGGCTTGATCTACAAGAAAGCTCGGTAATGATGTGAATAGGCATACAGTCGAGTTGTTCATACTCCCACATTTAGAAATGACTTTTGATTGATCAAAATAAGATATTCGAAATTAAAGCCTGTTTGCCTTGTGTTTCTTATAAACCTACAGTGAGTCAACAATTAACTACCTTGTGTTTAACAGTCCGGGGGTAAATTATCTTTTTCAGATATGAGGCTAAGCCACATTGGTGATCATTGATCATTTTGGCATTCACTGGGATGTGCATTTAATTGGTAGAGATACTTTCTAAATCCCATCAGTCAAATTGTTCAGATTGGTCTACTGAAAACACATATGGTGAATGTATATTAATGTTTTCCTGCTGTTGACTGCATCCTTCGTTTATCTTTGACGGAAGAAGTGATTTTGTTTTGGTTGCAAATACAACCAATTGTGATGCCCATGAACTGGCAGAGTGCATGGAGTTCAGGGGCACTCAATCATGAGTTGAGCTGTCTTTCGTATAGAGGCTATGGTACTTGTATATGTGGCTGATATATCAGGATAGTTTCGGGTATAAGATGTTAGTCTTTCCATGAGCCACGTGTACCTAGTTTAACAGTTATTGGATCCATAACTTCTGTATGAGTTGGAACCTGCATTGCCTAACTTGGGGAGGGCTATCTGAGTAAACACCATCCCATTCCATATGATTGAAGGGCCTAGGAGTCGGTAGTGATGCTTTTCAGCCAGTTCTGTGTATTTGTTATAATTTTCTCTGGGTAAATTCTGTCTTAAATCTAGTTTATATATTTTTACTTTACCCCCTATTTCTGAGATGAATTTTCATATCCAAGTTCAATGCAGTCAAAGTCCTATTGACTGAACTTTGTATTTGTTGGTCTCATTCCATTGATTCGGGGTGAAACATTCACATGTTGAGCATTTAGCCAGAAGCCAACAGACAAACTAAGTACACCAAGTATTTCTGCTACTCTCCCTCTTGTGTAAGCTCTTGTAACTTTAAAATGCTAACTTGGCGATCACGCAGTGAACTCTAGCCATATTGAAACAGAGAGAAGAGAGAGCATGCTTCTCATGTGTTACTAAGCTGATGTCTTTCTGAAGCCGTCACAAGGTGTCATGTACCGGAATTTTATGGCCAGAAAATGGGGAGACAGGACATTTGGATCTTTTTCTTTGTCTTTTAAATTGATTTTTACCAGGTGGTATGTGGTTCTCGTGTGTGAAATGGTCTCATGATTTTATAGGTACTATTCCATGTATGGACATGTGGAGAGGCTGGCTGAAGAGATAAAAAAGGGAGCTGCCTCTGTTGAAGGAGTTGATGCAAAATTATGGCAGGTATTTTCGTTTTACTTTCTATTTCTTCATGTCTCTTATTTTATACTGCTTGATTCTTACTTTTTTGTGAATTTACCCAATATCTTCAGTGCCTGAAAATTTATATTTAGCACAAAAACTTGTATCATCGCCTGAATCATGGCTTATTCTAGGTTTCACATTCTAGAGCTTTTCATTGACGGTTTTGTATGCACGTGCTTCAACCATGTTACCGTGCTTTGTCATGATGAGTTTAGAGACTGGATGAAGTGCCATTGTTTTTTCCATTCCGCATATGCATCGATATGGTGTTTGACAGAATAAGTAAGTTTTGGAGTTACAAAACATGATATAAATTTCGCTGATGTGCTTCATGATACATCAAGAATTAACAATGTGCTTAAACTTCTGGTATCATTAACTGTCATTGGTTGGAAAGATTCTTGTTGCTAATTTGCTCGCTTATTGATAGACCACTTACATTTCTGTGTGAAATGAGGCAATTTGCTGATATATTGCATTGGGGGTGGGGAATAGGTGGATGAGACGCTGCCAGAGGAGGTGCTTTCGAAGATGAGTGCACCTCCCAAGAGTGATGTACCAGTCATTGCACCAAACGATCTTGCTGAGGCCGATGGATTCGTTTTTGGTTTCCCAACAAGATTTGGCATGATGGCTGCTCAATTCAAAGCCTTCCTCGATGCAACTGGAGGTTTGTGGAGGACACAAAAGCTTGCAGGCAAGCCTGCTGGAATATTCTATAGCACTGGATCTCAAGGCGGTGGGCAGGAGACTACAGCGTAAGCGGCCAGCATCTTTTCTAGTGAAAGAAATGACTTTGAGATGGGAGACGATGTGTTCTGAAAACTTGAAATCGTGTTGCAGGTTGACTGCTATCACGCAGTTGGTCCACCATGGGATGATTTTTGTCCCCATAGGATATACCTTTGGGGCCGGCATGTTTGAGATGGAGAAAGTAAAAGGCGGTAGCCCATATGGCGCGGGGACTTATGCTGGTGATGGCTCGAGACAACCCTCTGAGCTCGAGCTGGAGCAAGCTTTTCATCAAGGGAAGTACATCGCTGCCATTACAAAGAAGCTCAAGGGAGCTGCCTGAAGTGACCCGTATGATTTGCCGATATTATTGTGCCTATCCTATTTCTCGATTCTTTTTACAAACAATTTCAGATCCTACCTTAAAACTCATTCCAGTCAATAATCCTGTTTTGTGAAGTATATTCTTCGTACTTGTATCGCGAAGTACAGTGTTTGTCTTTTCTTGATATAAAAGTTTTTAGTCGCTTGATCTGTCGAATTGCAGTCTTAAAAGTTAAAGTACACCGGGGAGTCACGGTGTTGTTCGTTCAAGTTGTTGGGCATCTGTTTCTATTTGAGGAATCAAATATTGAACTTTGATAACAATTGTGCCAGTCAAATGGTATACTTATTACACTTACCGAGATGAATTGCTCCGAAAAACATCACTGTAAATGAACAGCCCATGTATATAATTCAGTACGGCACGGGCCCTTGATCTTTTTTTCCTTCTTTCCTAATTGTCGAGGAAAGTCTCTCTCATGTAGATAGGTACTAAGCTCACCAAATATCTCACCTCGCTGACTTAGGGAACCACATGAGATGCGAGCCCGAGCCCGAGCCCAAGCTGAGCGCTTCAAAATAGCTTCTTGATCTCCAATCAGCTCACTAGACAGAAGTCGCAAGGCGGCGGGGGTGGCGGCCCGCCTATCAGAGAACGATGTTAGGTAGAACGTACCTGTGTGGAAGAAAGAATCACAATACTCCTCAATTCTCGCCGAGAAAGCAGATGCCGTTACTTTCAGTTAATATTCTTCGATGGACCGAGCTCCGGTCAAAAGGTCCCCTGTTGCTTCGATAACGCGGGGAAATTCCACAGGGGTGAGGTCACCGAGAAGACGATAAGCGAGAGGGTTCTGATTCTCTTCAATCTTTGATTTTCTTCCAGGGGCCGTCTGGGGTTGCATCATTCACGCAGCATGTACCGCTTTTCCCACGGATTGGAGCCGTACGGAAGGGACGAGAACAAGTGCTCGATCAATCCCCCCACCCATAAATATACAAATCGACTAGGATTTCTCCCTAAAAGAAAGAAAAGAAAGACCTTCACCAGCTTTTAGGATTCGTCCTTTTCTTGTTTCTTTCATAGCTTTTGGGTTTCATATTCGTCGCCCTCTCTTTATCTTGGTGTACAATATATTCAGAGGTGTAGAATCCGCATAAAGTCGATTATGTTCAGTCAGTCCTCTCGGTTATTTTACAGGACTTAAAATATTGCTTTATACTTACATGGCGTGCAAATTTAGCTACAATGGATCACAAGAGGAATCAAACCAGATCCACTCCTTGATATACATCTCTCTCGTTCGTTTTCATGATTGGTTAAAAAATTAGTGGAGAGGGGCAACAAGCGTAGTTAGATCCTCCTCTGGGCTTTTACTTGTTTACTTAGAGATCTTACACCCGCTACGGAATGTTCGATTTGAACCGTAACCCGGTAATCGCAGCCTTACCGATGTGTGGAGGTATATCCACGCAAGGTAGTAAATGCCAATGGTACATGCTGGTCAAAGCTTTGCTTACGACATGGCTTGAATTTGTAATCTCGTGGAAAACAGCACGACCTCTTTATTACTGGACTATCACGTTCGGTAGTGAGTCGATATGCTTCTAATTGTTGCTTTCTGACTCACCACAAAAACAACAATCAAGAGGTGAGGAATTGTTCTAAGTCTATTAAGACACGAGTCCATAGTAGTGAATGTGGACTAACTTTGTGAAAGTCGTGTTCAATTATTAAAAAAGAAGAAGAAGAATTCAAGGCAAGGAATTCCGAGTTCTGAGTTTGCGAAAAGGGCAATCGTCCATGGCACGGTTGCCGTCGCTGCCGCCTGCCTCCATTGCCACCGCCATCACCTCCACGCCACCATTCTTTCCTTTAAAGTTTATATTCCCCTCCTCTTTCATTAATGTTAAGGTCGCAATGATGATGGTGATGATGATGATGAAGATGACTATGGTATGATAGGTTGTATTCTTGTCAGGTAATGGTTCCTGATGATTGTGAAAATAATGATGACCGAAGTGGGCAGAAAAAAGAAAAGGAGAATCGACAACCAACCTATGGCGGCAGCGAAATCAATAGCCGGTGTAATGATATTTTAGAGAAATGAAGAGTGGATTAATTTGGGTATCGACTCGCAGTTTATGCCTTCTGGTCGATTTTCAAATACAAGTGGGATTTTAGTTCGAGTGGATATCATGGACTGCATGTTGCAGTATAAAGCATAATTTATCTTCGGTATGCCAAGGCTAGCTACTTTACATAGGTGCGATTTACGGTATTCTTATGTCACGACACGATGATTACTCGATTTTATTAGGACGAGAAGATTGTCGTGACCCGATGAGAGTATTAGATGGGAGCTCTTAGAAGCCCGTATATCAACGTCTTCGACTCCAAAAAAAAAAAAAAAACAAATACACGTAACTCTACTTAGACTACTTTGTATCTTTAAACTTGATATCGGTCGTTGGATTTACGCCGTAATCTTAACCGCAAAGCGAATAGAAAATTTTCTTGAGAACCAAGCGCATCATTTTTTTTCCGCTTTTACGGAGGAAAACCCATTTTAGATGAGTAAAAACCCGATCACATCAGCTATCACACCAATCTCACAACCTGGATAAGAAGCGAGTAGCCACGTGAATTAAAAGACAGGCGATACAGAACCAAAGAAAACAACCTAAAACGCATGTAATACTCGACGGAACGAGAATACGTCTAAAACCCGCGTATCCTCTCGATCTTCAATCACTAAACCAACTCCAGAAGATTTATCGTATTCCTATAGTCATTCTATCTATCATGCTTCTCCTCTTGGAATTGGTATTGTATTTTGATTTCTCTTAACCCATCAATGTGACCATTGGATCAAAGGCATAAAGAGGGGAGGGGCGGTAGGGGGGCTCTCTCTCGTTAAAAAAAGAGAGGAGAGGAAGGATAATCGAGTGCTAAAATCCGAAAGGAAGAGGGTGTGGGGTAGGGTCTGACCTCCACTATCATATTCCAAAGACGTAAACAAATGAAAAGTGAGATTTTTCCCGATCAAACGACATCTCCACCACGATCACTCATCTTCTTTTGTATTCCGAGACTTCAATTATTCCTTCCATGTCTTTTCTCCTCTCTCTTCTCTCTCTGTGATAAAATAAAGGTAATGCCAGCTCTATTCACAATGCAGAGAAACAACAGGAATAATTAAAAGAAGCTCCTTTCCTGGCTCTCTCTCCCTTTTTCTTGTACTAAACTCGGCTAATGACAACAAAATGTTCCTATAAAGGTAACCCCTCCCTGCCCTACAAATTAGCACCTGTTCTCATCCCCCTACTAAACCAACCCCAAAATCACAATAATTCCTCAATTATTAGTACAAATGTTGCTTTTCTTCTTTTGTTTCTTATGCCCATGGCTGGCCCAACAATGGCCTCTCCTTTGGATTGCCATTCCTTTTCATCCCTTCCTCTCCTCCATTTATGTCCTGGGTTATTTCTTTACATTTCAAACTATATAAAATTGCATAATCAGGGGCCACATCCGGGGTCTTCTGATTCTCCTCTTTTGCATCGCCATCGTCATCGACATCCATCCTCAGCTGAGGTGTGGAAACCGATTAGCCCCTCTTGTCGAGTGAGTGTCAAGACGTTGTTTTTCTTTCGGGGGACGATCTGTCGATTTGAATTATCTGAATGTTCCCCCAAATGTAGGAGTCCAGAAATCGACGGTTGTGTCGTGTGTGACTGGGTAGGTGCTTGAGACCGGCACGAGACAAAGACCTCGGCTTCTAAGATCTGGTCTAGGCCCCTCTGGGTCTTCAGATTTATCAGGAGTCTGCATCGATCCAGTTTTAATACATTCTCAAATCGGATTATTAAACAATGTATTTTATCAGACGTAGTCAAATATGGTGAAAATTCACTCAATGTCTCTATAAGCAAACCCCTTTTCATGGCAACTATATGAGTTTCAATATCTATAACTATATATATGAGTAGAGTCGACCGTGAACCGTGCTCTTTCATTTTCATTTCCCTTTTGGGTTGCATGCCATGTATCATCCGGAGTGTACTTTGGCATACCAAAGCATGGTTACGACTAAGCCCATGTGGTTTGTAAATAATGTTATTTCTAGCAGAGAAATTCCACATAGATTAAGACTTAGGCATTCGAATTCCAAGAAAAATCATAGACCCTAAACTCTAATCATAGACCATAGAGACTGTCTAATTAATAACATCTAAGATATATAGTTGCAACAATAAATAGATCTTAAGAGAAGGGTTAAAAAGGAACATACCTGCTGATGTGGCATGGCACCTCCATTTTTCATGTATGGGGTAGTTAGAACCTGAGATTTATAACAAGAAGGCAAAACATGTTTTCCTCAGAAGAGGCTTCAATTGAATTCCCCATAAGTACAGTCTCAGATGGTAATAAAAGCTTAGATAAGTTACGTCAATCTGAAATAGCCTCGACTTCTAAATAATGTATGTTGGGACTTACACTGATCTGGTCGTGGAGGAACTTGATGTACTCAATGGCTTCAGTGAGCACTGAGGCCGTATCAGTCTGATGACAAAAGAAAAGAAAAACTTGACAACAAGATCTCCATTGTAATCTTCAATGGTCTCTTCCATAATGTTTCAAAATAGAGGATGATATCATATCTTTGGGTACTCATATGTGAAGGCAAAAGAGAGATCTCATGGAAATGAACTCATTTACCTTTCCGAAAGGCGAAACCAATTGTTGGAGCGCAGTGATTCTGTCCCCCATCTTCTCTTTCCTCACCTATATTTAGTTCACAACCCTCTCTTTTTCATTGTCTATGCAAGCTATAAAGCTTAGAGGCAAAGAGAAAAGAATAAAGAAAAAGCTAAAGATGTCTCTTTCTTATCTTCCAAAAGATTTGTCAAATCTACTTGCTCGAAATTTTGTACCTTAAAAGCTGGCAATGGCGAGGGGGTCTCGTTTCGCGGCCTTTTCCCAGCAGGCTCACCGCCGCTTTTCTTCATCACGGCGCCCGGATTGGCAGCCTCCGTTAAATTCTGCGCCACACAATCAATGATACAAAAATCGGATAATCCCGCAACAGATACTCGAAACCCTAATCATGACCGTGCATAGCAATTTGACACGCCTAAGCAATGATGTCTCTCTCTCTTTCTTTTTTTTATTTTTGTATGGTCTCGATTGAAGATGTCTTGATTACCTTTGGTTTCTCATCGAAGCCCGGCGGGGCGAATGGGGCTTGGGATGGGGGGAAGTAGGTGGTGGTTGTCGTGGACCGGACATCGTTCATCGCTGTGGCGGACGCGGTCCAGAACGGCGCGTTGTTGGAGAAGTGCAACTGACTCTGGTGGTGAGGCAACGGCGGGGGGTGGTGCTTAGGCGGTGAGATTCTCAAGAACTGAGGCATTTTGTTGGACCAATTAGAAGGCAAGAGCTCACTAGAGCTCTGAGCATTGTAGCCTGATGGGTTATAACCAGGATAATTCACATTTTGCTGTTGCTGTTGACTGCTTTCTGATGATCCAGTCAATATTCCTTGCAAGAAAGTTGAAGGACTACCGTACAAGGAGGAGGGTGATGAATCAGCAATCTGGTGATGAAAACCTTGGCATGTCACTGTACTACTGTGATCACCTGTGTTTGTGCTCTGGAAGCTTGCGTTCATGTTCAAGTTCTCCTGAAGCATCGACCGAAAGCTGCTCTCAGTCCCCTTATGATCTCCTCTTCTAGATAAATTCCAAAAAGGAGCACACTTGTAAGTGAGAGAAACTTTTATCTTAAGACAAAACCATGTGCTAAAAGTTGCTGAAATTCATGTTAATTCACAGGCTTGAGCTATGATAAAATTTGACTGCTAATACACGGAAGAAATGTTTCCTGAGAACTTTATAGATTGAGAGCACGATAAGATCACATCAAGATTAAGAAACTTTTTTAACTTTCTCAAAAAGAAGGGAAAAGTTGGGAACTTTAGAGACTTACAATAAGTTTTGGTTGTTCCAATCCATGGCTTGAGAAGAGAGGCCCAAATTCATCATATGCAAATTGGGGTCAACCAAAGATCCACTAGTGTCGCCCAAAACAGCAGAGTTGTGGGGTTGCAGCTTCTGGGTATCATGAAAAACCACTGAAGAACCGCCTGCAGACTCCATTGAAGACCTTGCAGCTTTCATGTCACCGCCCATGTCTGTGAGCCACCCACCGAAGCTCCCCAGAGAGCTCAGCCCCGACGATGAGGACGACGACGTCCCACTCTCGTACCGATTCCTCGATGCGTCCCACCAGTTCCCACTTGCATGGAATTGATCATCTGCCATGTCTAATATAGCTTTGATGGCAAGAGAATTAAAAAGCCTCCTGCTGCTTTTCTTTTGTTGCTATCTTTGTGGTTACTTCCTCACCAAAATGAATCTTGACCTTCTCTCTATGGCTTGGCCTTGTCTTCCAGTGGATTGTTTTGGTCGCATAAAATGATAAAAAGCGATTTGCATCATTTCAGTATTTATATATAATTCAGGAAGAGACTGTGCGCGTGTGCGTGTGCGTGTGCGTGTGCGCGTGTGTGTGGAGCATCAGCATCAGTGGTGATGGCGGGGAGAGCTCAAAGGAAAGAAAAAAACGCGGTTGACATTTCAGGGTCTGATTAGACATTGAGGCAAAGGTCAATTTGAAATTGAATTTCTCTTTTGTTTGATGCTGTGTGTTATTCTCTTTCCCTCTATATCCTTTTTCTTTCTCCCTTTGAAATTTGTTTTTCTGGTTATTCTATTTTTCTTTTGATAATTATGGGTTTTTGGATTCTTCTGTTTCCTTCTAAAATTAATTCTTTCTTTGCGCCGTTCTGCAAGGGGGAAAATCATTAACAGCTGCATAAGGAAGGACATTTGCGCCACTCACTGGTACAAAAGTAGGAGAGATAGCAAGGCTTCTCTGAACATTTGCTTCTTAATTTCTTAAATTGCACAGATTAACATGCTAGTTGTCTCCAGAAAGCTCAAATCTTAAGCCAGATTAGAGATTGGACATTGGCTACATGCAAACCAATTTTGCTTTCATTCAGAAGGATGGGGTGATAAGTAGCTCCATGTGTCACCTTCGTATGATCATCAAAGCACTTGCTTGATAGATGGAAGTAGAATTGTATTAGAAAGTTTGAAGTTTTAGTTAGGAAGGAAAGAAAACCTGGTGATAAGATCCAATAAAAATCATTTTAGCGATGATTGTCTACTCCCTTTCACACATAAGTTATCGAGATAAGACCGTCATGGAATAAAGAGATGAGGATAATTGGTAGGCGATTGCTAATTGCCTATAAGGGTAAGTTCAAAAAGAGTGCAACAAATGTGACTCGAAACTCTTAGGCAATCGAATCTACACATTTGAATGATGTGGAACTCATAAAATTCGTAATCGAAAGGTCAATAATCTTCCGTGCTTGTATGTACGATTCATCAAACCTCCCACCTAGACCTTCTCTAGCGACAAGTTTTGCAACTTAGAAATTGTAGAGATTACTCGTTTTGTTTTAAGACTCAATTAGATCGAGAAAGAATAAATTGACACCCTCAACCTTCTTCGTGCATAGGCAGCTTATGCACCCTAATCTTTCTTCATCCATACCGAAGAGATCCAGCCCTCTCAACTAGATGGAAAAGGATTACGCTGCTTAACATATTGAAATTGGATCTCACAACTCAAGTTAGAACAAAAAAATAATAACAATTGATGGTAAAATAATCTTATTTTTTTTCCGGCCTGCTTTGGACTGCCTAGTTGACGCGATTAAATTTCAAAGGAATTCCTTATCGTGGTTCATGCAAGATTGACTAAGGCAATGGACAAACTGACCTCCTCCTCATCATCATCGAGTGAGAAATGGAATTTGATAGGCGAGGTTGACTGGGGGGATGAATCAGCTTCTCGAGGGTCAAAAGGCGCATCAATGGCGCGAGGGTGATTAAACAAAAGAACGATGGTTTTGGTGTCTGATAGATTCACTTCCATTAATTATGTTAAACTTGACCGGTTGCGTATGGCTTAAGTTAATCAAACCCTTCCTCGAGGATAAGTCCCCGTTGACATTTGGCATAAGTCAAGAAAAATGAGACATCGTTGGAAAACACACTTTTTCCACTAGGGTTAATTTCCAAACCCTTTTTGCACTACTCCATCGTACACGTAAGAAGTTTTGTTGATGAAAACACGCCATTGAGAGATCACCTTCTCATTTTTTTCATAAAAAACGGTCGATAGCATTTCTAATCTAAAGCATTGCCAATCATATAAGATTTCGAGAAAAATCGCGCATTTTCCTATGCTGCAAAGTCCCGAAAATGTTAGAATGATTTCATCCTTGCAACTTCTATTATGGGTAGGAGAAACAAGAATAGGACTCTCGAAATGGTGTCGATGGGGACGAGCCAAGACAATGGTAAGAGTATATTGAAAGGCTGTAGAGAAATTCTCTATAAAGCATAATAGATCACTTGAATCAATAGACGTGACGGATAATCTAATTAACTGATGTGTTTTAATACTAGCTTGCAACATTAGATTTTTATTAGAGTAATTAAATATTAAATGACCTCTTCATTTAATGGCTTAAGCTTCTAATACAGTTGGTAGTAAGCCAACAAATTCTCACATGATATTAGAGTAGTAGGTTTTGAGTTCAAATCTTTTCAGTCTCCTGTTTGCCTCTCCAATGAAATATTTACACGCTTAATACGAGGCAAAAAGACCGGACTAAGCATGTGGGAGAGTGTCGGAGTAATCAAATGTTAAATCACGCATTCTTCTAACAACTGAAGTGTTTAAAATAGTTGACAATAATTTCACAAAATTTCACGATTTTGACCACACAAAAAAAAAAATGGAAGCATGAAGCCATCGTCCTTGTGTTTTTTTGGCTCTCTTGCTTTAATATATATTTTCTTTCACTTTTGATACGTAACAATTCGGATGAAAAAGAAGAAATGAAGGGAAAAAAAAAAAAACAAAGAAAGGGATGATGGAAGGCGATTAGGTTTTGACTTTAATGATAGAGAGAAGGCGGCAGAAGGACAAATCAGGCTTTGGGGTGGCGTCATGCTTAGAGACAGAGAGAGAGAGAGAGAGAGGGCTTTGACAGGAGTCAAAGGAGTGGGGTCCACGCGGCGTGCACGCGTGGGAAGACATGTGGAGCCCACCCTCGCTTTCCCTTTCTCTCTCTCTCTCTCCTCAGAGTCAGAACCCAGAAAACGACCTTAGCTTTGGGGATTTGATGGATTTGATTATTACCTAGTTTTCCTCCCTTTGCTTCTACTTAATATAATAATAATAATGTAACGTAATGTCCGTCCATCCATCCATTTCCAATTCCATCTTGCATTCTTCAAATCCTCATCATTTTGGCCTACCCCTCCCCCACACGAGGCACACTTTGTTTGTCCCGGGTGTTCAGTGAGCCCGACTTCACATCCACCCTTGAAATCTTATTAGATTGATCGAGACTCGCACGCTCCCCCATCTTGTTAGCGCGACTTGTTTGACAAATATGTCGAGAAGCTCTCCGAACGCACGTTCAAACAATCGGATCGAAGCCGACAAGCACGTTGTATTAACGACCATTTGTGCGTGCCTGCTGACACGATCGGTTAATCAAGTTTCATGACACGTCATTATCTACGTGTTAATTATTCATTTAGAGTTCAAGATTAATTGGCGTGAATCGCCACATCCTGGAGAGCTAGATTTTGTTAATCAAGTTCTCAAAAGAGGATCGGCACCCAAATTATCCCTTCTCTTTGAATGTAATTTTTAGCAAAGAAAATATAGATATGGTTTCTTTACAGTTAGGCAGCAGTTATCCAAAAATAATCAAAATGCCATTAACTTCCAATAAACTTACCTAAAATCAAAACCTTAACCTTCTTCTCTCTCTCTCTCTCTATATTGCCCCCTTCTGCACCAGCCAGTGCCGTGCTCATCTTGCCCCAACGTCTCACTTTCGTCATACTAACTTAACTCACTTAAGGTATTGTTCGTTTTTGGCTCCTGCCACACCAAATCTCATGATTTTTTTTTCCTTTGTCATGCACGTAATCATTTTCATAAGAGGTCATCCATCCCTAAAGTGCTCTCACATGTAGACCAAAGGATAAAATCATCGAGCTCAGTATAATATGGATACACAATACCCCAAGAAAGTTAAATCACGATGTCATAATTTGGCATCAAAGCTGGATGCCCTCTGACAAATGTGTGATTTGAAGTCGGTGGACCTATAATAACCCCAGTCCAACAAGGATGAAGAGTGATGTCGTGGTCAGGCGGCCCGAATAGGTTGCTGCTCCTAAGAGGCTTATGCTAGAGTAGCGAAAATGGTAAGAATGAATCGAACTATAGGCCAAATATGGGGGAGAGCATTCCTGCATTATATGCATAAAACTTCAATTAACTCAACCATAGGAAAAGGGGGAGACTCGGTATTAAGAGGACAAAAGCGGACTATACCTCAAGTAAATTAAGTCAAGATGTTGTACCTAGCCACAAGCTACCTCGGATCCTGAATCACTTGGGGCTAGGTGCCTTGAATTTGAGGTGGTAGCGACTGCTGTCGAAGAGAGGGAGGGGGAGAGAGAGAGAGAGAGAAATTAAGAGTGTGCTCGTTTTACAGAAAGTGAATGGTTTCGCAAATATTTTCCTAAAAATAATAGATACCGAGAAATTCAGTTAACTAAAGACTAATTATTGTTGATAATGAAAATATTTTTCATTGACTAATTATTTCAAGTGATACAAGTCATCATTTTTAAGAAAATATTTTCAAATCATTTAACTTTCGCGAAATAAAGGAAGCCTGAAAGAAAGCAAAAAGGGGATTTGAGATCAATTTATCTTTAAATTATTTGAAGGATCTCAATCTAGAGAGTGTAAAACCAGAACTCAAAACCAACGAGGTACAACGATTTCTGCTCTTGGTATCGAAAAACATAATCGCAACCCACTTAGCTTACGACCAAGAATGAAAATCTAGCTTTAATGTATTCAACAAGGCTATCCCTCCTTCAGATTTTTCTACACCTTCTCTCCCATGTCTCAGTTCTTGTGTTCTCATCATGAAATCATGGACGAAGGGTGCAACATTTGGTGGGACTCATCCATCAATGATTAGGGTTCACATGTAGTATAGATTAGATTGACGAGAGCACCGAGACATCTTAATTCCCTCGCCCCATTTATTGCCCGTGAGAAATAATTCGTGCATGATTATCGCCTGAGATTGTTTGTGTGTTGACATTCCCACCTCAAACAGCACTGGAACTACTGATTACTCCTTTCTTCTTCTTTGCAACCCCTATTATTGAAATTTCGAAGACCATTAATAAATATCCAAGAATGTCACGAATGGACCTGGAATTGCAACAAAAATACAAGTACAAAGTGCACTAATTCGAATGTGGATCATCTAGGTAGCATGCATATATAAATGCATGTGCAGTC